TTTGGTTGTGTTACTTTGATTTATTTTATTTTATTTTATTTTATTTTTTTTTGTAAATGAAATAATGAGATGTAATAATGAGATGTAATATTCTTTTGTAACATGCATGAAACTTTGAGGATAAATTAAAACCAAAATGAATCGTGAAAAATTGTTTCCTTTAGCAAATATATGTTATGTTATGGTATGAAAATAAAATATATATACTAGTACTAGGAAAAGAAAATATTAAAAATAATGTCCTTGGTTATCCATATGCATCATTAGCTAATTGTGTAATTCTTTTTGTAAGGGAAGATTAAGGTGTGTAATTGTTCTTATTTTTCAACCTTCCATTTTTCTTACTCAATTAAAACAAAAAGTAAATGACGCAACCATCGTTAACGTCATCCCCAACTCCTCTTCAAAAGACAACTGATGATGGTCAATTTAGAAGAATTTCTTTTTTTTTTTTTTTCAAAATTACGATCAATCAATAATGAATGAACCTACTAAATAAATCTCCCTTTTACATGATGATACAGCATTTCCCTTTCGATACATCATCCTTTTCAGATAAAGGTTTCGATTTCCCATCGAAATAAATGCACAAAAATTTCTTTCCTTTTTTGATCTGATGATCCTTTTCAGGAGGGGAAGGAGGCTGTTCTTTTTGTTGAGAATCATCAAAACCATCATGTCGATTTTGATCGTGATAATATTCGTCATCGTCATCCGAACCGCCATCAGTTTTTCTTCTTTTCCTATCGGTGGCCATATTAGCGGGCACGCTAACGGTTTTCGTCTCGTTCGTTTTGTTAAACGTTATCGTAGCCGTGAAGTTATAAGGGGGTTGATCATATTTCGATACGGTGTAATTCATCGTGTATGCTGTTGGTTTTGGTTTGGAATTGTTTGGGACCACTATCGAACCTCTGGACTTTGGTGTGATGTCTACGGATCCTATGCTGTTTGCTTCGGTATTGCAAAATAATGTAATTTCCCACTTATGTCCACCGTCCATAAGTTGAGAGTGTGTAGATTTTAAATACATTTTGATAAAAAAAATTAAGTGGAAGAGGTTCAAAAAGTCTTGGGCAAAAATTAAAAGGAATAAAAAAAATAATGCAATGTTATGTATGTACAGCTAAGGAATTTATCCTATCAAAGAATAATACTGAAAGGTTATTTCAAATAACTTGACTTTTCTGTCTTGTTCAAAAAAAAACAGACTATAAATAATAAAAGGAATGAAGGAAAAAGAAAATGAAGGGAATGGAATGAATTGTTTGAGGTTTACTTAAGGACAAAGGGTCTCAAGTTTATCACTGGCACAGCCAGAAACAAATAAAACAAATAAAAAGGAATGTATAAAAAAAATAAATGTGTTTGTGTTGGGGAAAAAAAAATAAAAGATTTTTTGTGCGAGTGTAAATGCAAAAAAAAAATAAATAAATAAAAAACTAAAGGAAAGGATGAACGGAAAACAAACCAAGTATGGTTTCAAACTGTTTCTTGTAACGATTTTATTTTTTTTTTTTATTCACCTTTTTTTTTCAAATCCATTTATGTTTATATAACAATATAATTATTTAATCTAAACTATTAAAAGAAAACGTTATAAAAGATTAATTCGTTATTTTTTTTTTTTTGTGTTCACTCTTGTTACATTATTTTAGTTTCGCGTGGTTTGATGCTTGATATTGTCATTGGAAACATTTTTTGTTTGGTAACTCTTCATGTAATATGGTATCACTCATCATTATTCTCTTTATATACTAGTAAATCCCTTGGTCCTTAATTATAACACAAGTAAATAACGTACATCTTGACAATTTTTGTTCCTTGAATGTGGAGACTAAAATTAAATCTTGTTTCTACACGGAAAAGAAATACAGGGAGTTCTGTTGATTTGTTCAGGGGTAAAAAAAAAAAAAAAAAGAGTGCGGCCCGAGCTGTTTTGAAACTATTGATGACTGCGGCACATCCCGCATTTGGATTTGGACAACAAAATAAAATTTTTTTTTTTTTTTTCATACAGATGGTTATTTCAAATGCATGAGCCTAAGGAGCTGATCCTCAGCCATAACCAATTTCTTTCTTTTTTTTTTACACTTGTCTGATCGTATCGTTTTATATTTTTTTCATTTATTGAAACGTGAGGATGAAAAATGTCCTTGTAAAATAAATGTGATGAATTTATTAATAGAATCTCTAATTTTTTTTTTATTTATTTACTTCATCCTTTTTATTTTATTTTATTTATTTTTCTTTAAAAAAAAAAAAAAAAGCGCTTGAACGATATTGGAACCTGAAATATTTATTTTTATTAGTAATAAATAAAAAACATAAAACATAAAATATTTTTAACATCCTTTTTCGATGCTTAATGATGACATATCGTTAAAAAGAATACTAATAATGATTCTTATTGGTTCGAAATATCTAACAAACATCGATCGGTAGAAAACTAATCACCGGACTTGTTTGTAAGATGAACGATTTCCGTCCGACCATCAAAGATAATGACGTTTTAAATTAAGGACGATCGTAACATGACTAACGCATACATCACTTACTTTGCCTCCGAAATATTCATCGCAAAAACCTAAAAAATCTTTTCATCTTGGCAAATTTTAAATAATCATGTTGAAAAAAAAATAATTCGCATACATGGTCTTGCAGGAAATGATGCAGAAGATTTCGATAAAATATCGAGCAGCCAAAATTTTGACATCTTGGCAAAAATTTGATATAATAAGGGGAGGTGATCCCTTCATTTATGATGCATTAGTAGTATCCTTATTCTAGGCGTGAAATTTTTGGTCGAAAAAAAAAAATTTTGTGTTTCACAATTCCAAAATGATAATCATGTGAAATTGGATCAATTAATATGGCGAGTATCAAGTCATATTCGTTTCGAATATAGCAATAATTTTCAAAACCATCATATGTTCGTCGTCCGATTAATCATATTACCTTTTTTGAATATATGATTTTAAAGAAAACTCGACAAAGTAGATAGAATGTTATATATATATATGTCAACGTGGGCAGTGGACTTGGGTGTGGTGAATTAAGTACGGAGATGGCGTGATTTTTTCGGTGGGCTCAATGTGGTCATGATGGGCTGAATGTTATATAAAGTGCGCGTTTCATGGCGTTCGGGTGTATGTTAATTCTTTATCGCAGGGTACGTAAAATCGTGAGGCCGTTTTCGGAAGGCGCGCGAAGAGTGCTACAATCATTTTCCAAATGTCGGATCATTTTAAATAGATAATAAAAAAAAGGTTAATAAAATCAATTAAAATAAAAATCTTCACATTTTTTTTTAAAAAAAAAAATAAAGTTCGAATTACTGGATGAAAACCATTCATTAAAGTTTTAAAATGAAAAGTTTCAAAATTAGATACATCTGAAGTTTGGGTGATTTCATCTGAAAAAAGATTGTCGGTCGGATCAACGTTAGGATAAATAATACTTGATAGAATGCATTCGGTTTGAGTAGAAAATTTCTTTATAAAAAGGTTCAAATAAAATATATTGTTATGAATTTTTATTGCATAACATCGACCATACTTTTGTATTATTATGTACAATCAACTCATTGGTGGTATTAATAAGAGAAGAAAAACTTTTCTTATAAATTATGAAAGCTATTCGTTCAGTGTGTAAGTTCAAAGACCCTACCCAAACCCTAATTGCGTTAAAAAGTTATTGAAATTCTGGAAGCGAAGTTAACAGCAGTTCCCGTAGTCCCAAATTTGAATGAAATTTCCTTGGAAGAGAGAGTGAATAAAAACCCCTAAGTTTTTTTTATCATATTAATATCCTGTCTTTGGGAAGTCTTGATATGCAAAATGAAGGGACTCGTGTGATCCAAGTACATATATACGAGTTCTCCAGACTCGCTATTGATACAAATCGAATAATACTTTGAGAATAAGCGCCGAGTAATGAACAGCCTCTATTCATAGGAGTTCGACGGTGATGAAAAAATACAACCAATAAGAAAGATAAGTTTGAAGGTTAATCAATCACAATGCACCTACCATACCAGGGTACTTGGTCGTTCTCTCCTCGTGAGAGAATTTAGCTTGGTAACAACCGTCACCTGAAATGATGAAATATCCCCAATAAGAATATTTCTGGTTATGGTTTTTAGATAGCTGTGTTCCAAAATTGGTATGGTAGGAAAAAAACTATCTAGATTGACCATTGCTCTAATCATGATTTTACCATATTTGGTGTCTATCACTTTTTTTCTTTTTTGATTTAAAAAAATATAAAAGTCAAATCATGATTGGTGAATGGAAAATGAAAATTAAATTTACAACGGTTTAGCGCACCTGCAATGTAACCAACTTGTAAATAATAAATAAATAAATAATAAAACATTCAAAGCACCACATGACATTAAATGATTTGATGACTTGTGAATTGAGGACGATCCTTCTTATGAAAATTCCTTGTAAGATTATTTCATTGTTTCTGTGGAATCTTATGATTCTTTTTTTTGGAGACGAACTCCGCACACGATTTGCAAGAAGATTTTCGTTAGGAGCCGTTATTGTCAGCGTCTGTAAACTGTACACATGGGTTCTTGAACTTGGTCATTATGAACGTCTGAAGAATCGGAGTTTCGCATGTTCGGAATCGTATCAGCGAGTGTTACAAGCAAAGTTGTTCACAATGTCAACATACCTAAAAGCTTTTCTATTTAGGTAGGCAAGTTGCGAAATAATTTACGAGAGGCCAATAAAATTATTTATTTGTAGCATATATTCGATTATAGTTACATTTTTTTTTTCATCGGTTGATAATTATATGAAAACGTAAATTTATCAGGTGCCCTTACCTTTATTCTTATTTATTTAATTATTTATCTTAATCTTTTTTTATTTAGAAAATTGATAAATGGAAAGGTCCTGATTTACTAGGTTTCTCTTTAATGAGGCCTTTGTTGAAAATAGCGCTAAACTTATTTAATCAATCCATATGTGATTAATGATAAACTTTTTGGCGGGCCATCAAATAAACGGTAAATTTATGAATTTATCATCAACTGTATCTTAAAGGTATCTCAATGTAATTAAAGTTTTCAAGATACACTTTGATGATAAGGTTGCAGGCTTCAAAGCTGCAGATTTTTTTTTTTATGGTTGTCCATTCTTTAGACCGAAATGAAGAATAAAAAAAGACAATTAATCTGAATCCACAAAAGAAATTAGCGCAACTGAATATTTTTTTTTTTTTGTTATCGCACAAATTACATCACAAAATATTTCTATTCATACAATAAGTTCATTTACAATGACAAAATTGGATTATTTATAGCAAATATTGATATATAAAAAATATATTTCCTTTCTTTTACTTTACCATAAAGAAATTTCTTAAAAATAAGCAGCCTTAAAAGAAAAATATTTCAAGGGTTAGACGTTATATATAAAAAAAAAAAAAAAACGATTGTTACCTTACTTGTTTTCTCGTTTTTTTAGTGAAAACATTTCATGGTCATACAAATCAAACATCCGCTATAGAAACTTTATCGCGCGTAACCATAACATTCATTTTATTGCATACATTACGAAACAGTTGATTTTTTTGTATAAATAGAATAGCTGATAATGAAATTAATTCCCCACCGCAGTTTAGATTTCTCACTCCTAATCTAAATATATGGTAACAAATATATAATAATTTTTTTTTTTTTTTTTTTTTTTCCCCTTAACTTTATTAAGCTTCTTTATAATTTTACTCATTTAGAATTAATGTAAAGTAATTTATTTAAAAAATATTTTTACCATTCTTCAATTTCATATCTTCTTTAGTAATAGTTCAAAACCAACACGGAGTTTCATTTTTCAAACTCTTTTGTTCATACCTTCTATATTTGGAACTACGCCTTTACAATATATATCAAGATTTTAACGACAATTCCTTACCTTGTACCGCATACAATTGTGCAAATGGTGCAGTTTTGTTTACCTTTGCTTTCATTTTATTAATCTCTTGAAGTTTTTTTTTTTCTTTTTCTTCAAGAATAATTACTCTTTTTTATTTATTTATCCTTCCATAAATTTATCATAATTTCCTATTATACACATTTACATACTTATACATACATATTCCTTTTCTCCTGTCTAAAACTCTCAATATCCTTATAAGGACGTTTTTAACTCCGTTTTTTTTCGAATTGGTTTTAATTATATTTTATGCTCTATTTATTACAAAATAGAGCGAAACTCTCCCTTTTTTTAAAAAAAAAAAAATTGTCATTTGTATGCGTGTTTGCCGATAAATATGGCGAGCAATAATGAAATTGGTAACATTAGAAATGAAAATGATAAATTAATGCAGATGAGTGATTACTCATTCCTTGGTGAGTTTGAGATATCTAGTAAAAAAAAAAAAAATTCAAAAAATGTGTATCCGCGTGCTAATAATATTCAATCGTTTCAATTGAACCTTGTAGAACGATCGGTTCATGAGGTGTATATATGGATTTGGTTTCTTTTACATGTATGGAGGGTAATTATCGAAGTCTCCTTTTCGAAGCTGAGGTCTTTCTTTTGAATTGATTTCCAAATTGAAGCATAATCATCCTTTCTTTTTTCTTGATCTCACAGTGTGATGGTTTCTCAGCATTGAGATTTAAGCACATAATATCATTTGAATTAAAATCATTTGTTACAATATTCATATTATTTGCATTGCCATTAGAATCATTTTACGATATAGTCTCAGTAAGTGATGAAGGACCGAGAACTATTGTTTTTCTTCTCTTTGATTTTCTCCATACGTTAATTCTTTGGGTTGGAATGTATTTTTATTTTAGACAAAAATAAAATATGTGGAAGGATTATATTTATTTCCGGGTGCAGACGAAGTGATGAGGGCAAAACCAAGATGGTTATGGTCAGAAGAACACCAATTGTGGATCTTACCAAGTTATTACATATTAATGGTTGGAATCGGCTTTCAAATGTGAGTTTCTCTTTTTTATCATTTATGATGAATTGTGATGAATTGACGTTTCTTAATTTTTTTTAAAAAAAAAAAAAAAATCTCTTCTTCCTTTTCCTGTAGGATAATTTTGTATTTATTACAATGTTTTTGGAATTATTTAGTTAATTCAATCGCGCAAACGCCATTCATGTCGAGAGAGGAATTCTCATTTCACATCGTGTGGGGGGTGATTTGCGTTGGGTCGTTTCCCGTACTACCATACGTATTTAAGAATAATGACGTCTTGTTAGAGGTAATTGCTTAAAATGCGTCACGTCATCCAAAAAAGTCCTCATGAGCTCCCAAGATATAAAACTTTACTAATCACCGATTGTAATTTTCTTTGGATATCATTTAGACGATACCGCAAGTCGTATATGCAGCGCAACTATTTATTTTAACATTGCTTGGAGTGCGTACGCATCAAAAGTTTCGTAGATTAATTGAGACCATTTCAACGTATAAGAATTCATCAAACATTATCGCAAAGATAAGATATTTTATTGACATGAACAAATTGTTAACCTCGGCACTGGCCATCATGAGCGCAGCATTTTGCATATTAGGCATTGACAAGTTCACGACGGCTAAAGTTATTAATAATTCCAAACTCGCAAGGTAAGTTCACCTTCCTCTCTCCCTCTCTTTTTTTTTCCTCTACCGATCGTTTAATAACGTACGTAAATACGTTCCTAGTGACTTGTTGATTGCGCACGTCAATTTCGCATCCGTGGTTGAATGGATCGTGTTGATACTTATATTTTATCCAAGGAAGGGATTTGTTGGTACAGATGCCGGTGGAACCTCATTTAATACCAATACGAATATGGGATTAAGTAGTGTAAATACATCACAAGTCACCACCGCTACAAAATTTAGTACTTTGACGTCCGGTACTGCTGGAATCGGTGTTAATATGAATGTAATTCGGCATAGTCAAACCAACAGCGTGAGCAGTAGTCATAATTTCGGTTACGAAGACAAGCAGTCGCGTCAATATCAACTGACGTCGACACCGACACCGCCAACATCACCACCACGGACACCAACGCCAACACCGCCAACACCACTATTACCGAATAATAACAGACAAATTTATAATAAACCTCCTACCTTTAATAATGAGCCGTCACAGCCTCCGACATTACAAAAACAATCATCATTAAAACGACTTAAAAAGAAATCCTTGTCAAAAAAATCTATATCATCGGTTCCATCAAATAATAATAGCGCCACCGATCTTGATAATTATTCGGATAATAATATGGAGGAAATTATTAAAGCGCCGGTACCCTTACTTAAACGTAATATATCAATAAGTAAAGATGGTAAAATGTTATACGGTGAGACCAAACCTTTAGGTAGGGTGAAGGGAGCCGAGTTTGTCGCCGTGGAAAAAGCGGATCCTAGCATTATGCCTAGTTATTATTTTATGGGAGAATTTACGGATAGGGATGGTAACGTACATAAAGTACCTCCCTCGCTTAACGGTATAGATCGAGGTGGTGTAGGAGGAAGAAATAGTAGTAATGTAACACCTCAACAAGGAATACAAGGGAATAATGATCATAATGTAGATAATGAGGAAGATGATGAAGAAGAATTCTTTTATGCAATGTAAAAAATTGATATCAACAGTAAAAAAAAAAAAAAAAAAAAAAAAAAAAAAAAAAAACATATTATATTATCTTAATTATTTAATTAACTAATTTATTATTAAAGTGAATCCAAAGAAAAAGTTATCTATCTATTATTATACATATAATGAAAAAAGTGTATATCAAATAAAGAAAAAAGAAAAAGATTTCGAATGACTTATAACATTGTTCCGAAATGTGTGATAGGTACACCAATTATATGTTTAATGTATGTGGCGCATCAAACTTTTTTCATTTGGCGTTCTGAGTAAAACTTGCAGAGTAAACACGTACAGAATTTTAAAAAATTTAAGTGAATTTTATTGAATTTAGAACGTAGAAAATTGTCTGTGGCGCATATGCTGATACTTCGTCGATCATTTCCAAAAATATATTTTAAAGTATAATATATAACGATAAATGGATAATCGGGAATGATCAAAAATTAATCGGATCAAAAATTCTTGCTTTTTTCTCACCGCGCAAGTGTTTTTTAAATTTCAAAAGAAAATTTTTGGTTGATGCAACCTACTCTAAAATTATTGAGTCGATCGGCTTGGAAAGGTATTTATTTGGATAGAAATACATATATATATATATATATTTTTTACGCTAAATTTTTTTTTTTTACAGGTCCCTTCTTTGTGAAGTTTCCTGGTAAATTTTTTTTGTGCTTGTCGATTCTTTTAAACAAAATCCAATGAACTATGATTTACTTATCCTTTTCCGACGCATTACTAGGCCTACGTCATGCCCAAGCGACGAAAACTCCGATAAAAACTCAAGCAAGATCATGTACGGTTTTACCATCATTTGTCGGGTTAAAATTTTTAGTACATAACGGTAAAGATTACATACCCGTTAATATTACTGAAGAAATGGTGGGTCATAAGTTGGGCGAATTTTCTCCTACCAGGAAGAAATTTTCTTTTAGAAAAACCAAAAACAAGTGAGACGTAAGTAGGTGTTATGATGAGAGGAAGTTTGTGAATTTTGTGAGGGATGGGCCGTTAGGCATAAAGAATGCAAGGGTATATTATATCTACATGTGTTGTACCTCGATTATGTTTTTTTTCTTTGAAAGTTTAAAAACGCTACCATGTTTATTATTAAATAATTATTTCAATACTATTAAGAATATACAAAAACAAAAAAAAAGAAAGAAAAAAAATTTTTATACAAAAGAGACCAGATATCTAGATAAAGGGTAAATTTAACATGTACAAATTAAGTTTAAATAATAGGCCAACAACTTCCGATCCGATATTAATTTTTAGCCCAAATATGTTCGAGAGGAATTTCCTTTAATTGGCCGTTAGCAACCAAATCTTTGGCCGCCTTCTCGTAAGCAGCCCAAGCCTTTTCCTTTCTCCCACCATTATAAGCTCTTTTCAAGTAAAGAGCCCCTTTGTTATAATCTTGTTGCACACCGAAAAGTCCATTGATAAAAACTTTGCCTAAAATGTACATTGCGTCAAGATATCTCTTATGATCTGCTGAGGACTTTAATCGTTTTATTCCTTCCTGAATTCTCTCCTCGGCACTTTTATTATTGGGATTCTTTAAGTCTGAATGTTCAAGTAAAAATTTACCATAAGTCGCTTCCCAAAGTCCATCATCCAACAAATAATCGGCACTAATCTTGTAGAATTTTTCTGCCATTTCATAATTTTGTAATTGTTCATAACAATGACCGGTCCAATACGCTGCATCATGATCAGGTGGTGATTGCTTCGATATTGGTTCCAAGATTGATAAAGCCTCCGAATAATTTGATGACTTTATAAGTGATGTAGCTTTGATAATTTGTTCTTTGCTGTTCATGCGAAGGAAGAAAAACGGTTAGACTTGTTTTTTTTAAAAAAAAAAAGCAAAAAGAAAAGGAAAAAAGAAAAGTCACTAACTCGAAATCTGTGACGGTAAATACGAATCTCAAAGTCTCCGAAGGAGAAGACGTGGTTGATTTTGTCGATTTCTTCTTTGATTTGATGATTTTATTTTTACTGTTGACAAAAAAAAATATAAAAAAAATTAAAAACTACTTTAACAAGCTACTTTGCTTAAAATAATTTACTTTAAATGGTTAGCTCGTTACTTACAAAAAAATGATGTTTACGATGTAATAAATCGAATACTTTGATTTCTTTTTTGGTATCTCGGATTTTTTTTCATTTTGTGATGTATTTTCGAAATTTAAAGGGCATTGATCTTTCGTTGGTGTCATCGTTGGTGCAAAAAAAAAAGATATTGACCACGCAAAAAAAATGGGGGAAGTTGAAGCAAATATATATATATATATAAATATATATATTTTATTTTTTGTGTGGGTAATAAAAATAGAAAAAAAAAGAGAGAAAACGCGAAACTGTTTATTATATTTATGTTATTCAAAAAAAAAAAAAAAAAAAAAAAATTAGGTGTTTAACCAAATCCGTTGATAAAATGACAAAAGTTTCTTTTTTCTTTTTCTCTTTGGAAGGTAATCTTTAATGATACGTAAATTAATCATCATTTTTTTTTCCAACCCTGATTTATATATATTTATTTGAAGAAAATTCCCTTAATTAGATGTACCGTTTTTTTTGCTTGTGTGACAAATATGATGGAATACGATGAGAAATTATTTACGTAATGTTTCATATAGTTGGATCTAAGAATCATTACTTGTGATGGAAATCCTTAACCTTAAATCTATTTCCTTTTTGGTTGATGCACTAAATTAAAAATAGTAAAAAACTAAAAAAAATAATACAATGAAATGATAACCCCCATTATACCAATCACTTTGTTTCTTGTCCGAAGAAATTTTTTTTAACCAAAAGTAAACTTACCTGATTTGATGTTCCTTTCTATATGCCTAATAATAATAAAAAAACAAAAAGCCGAAAATGAATAATTTATATCATATATGCACATTTATGAATAAATAAAAGATAACCATTAAAAAGCGTGAATGAAATATTTTTGAATTTTTTCACGTTTGATCCTCAACATAACATAAATAATATGACTTGTACAAAATGCAAAAAAAAAAATCATACATATGAGTGCACAAACTCGGGGTCATTTGTAAATCTTAAGAGTACATCATTTTTATTTACTTCGAACCCGTAAAGTAGTTTTGAACCAATCAGCCTAAAAAAAACCAAGTCACATGGCAAGTTCTAAAATTCAAACAAATTTATTTGTAATTAATTAAAAAGAAAAAAAAAAGGGAAATTTAATTAGTCGTAACAATTTAAATAGAGGGAATATCATTTAATGCATAATGTAGAATTCGAAATAATGACACATTTATGACACTACATTCATACATAAATTTAAATTACTTTTTTTTGAAGTTTTTAAGTAGGCTCAAACCAACCATAAAAAAATGGTCATGCAGGAATGATGCACTTCTATTTCGTTTTTGGCGCAGTATCCCATCGCTTCGAATAATTAAAGTATTTTTGGAAAATTTTCCGTTACCATTCTAGGGCCACAAAATTTCTGTTTGTCACGTGCGATTTCGACGATTCGAACTGCACGTGACCTTCGGGCGTTTTCGTTGCAATTGTTAAAAAACAATTGCGAACAAAGGAAGACCACCTGTCTTTCCTAATAAATAGGTTAAATACATTAAAAATTACTTCTACTCAATTCTTGGCTTTTTATGTGGCACACAATCTCGCATGTCTTTCAGGTCATGATTGTCAGATCGATTTAATCCTGTAGCGAGTGTGACAAAATCAATATTAGTCAATTCTCCTTCTTCAACTGGCCTATCCAAATCTGTATGTGGTCGACTGTAATCCCATTCTCGCTCTCTATCCCTATCACGATCTCCTCTATCCCTATCCCTACTCCTATCCCAATCTCTACCTCGGTTACGCGGTTGATTGCGACCACCTCCACCACCGCCCGCGCGCTTATTAATGTCTTGATTCCTAGATCTATTATCGCGATTATCACGATCTTGACGACCGCTTCCCCCCCCTCCATCGACGCCTCTTTCCAGATCACGCCAACTATCACGCCTTGTATATTTCGTATTACGTCTTGATGGAGGTCGCGGGCGATCATTATGCTGTGGCGATACCTGGGACGGTTGCTGCGATGCCTGCTTTCTTGGGGATTGTGACATTTGCTGCGATCTGGAATCAAACTGAGACCCAAATGCTTCCTGTCCTCCACCATTACCATTGCCATTACCATTATATCTTGATTGATGAGTTGATGTTCCACGTTCTCTTGGTAAATGTTGAATGCCCCCATGTGTTCCATCCTCTTCATTTTTAATCGTCTTTGTAGACTCCTCTTGTTTGATCGAAACCACCGGTGATTCTTGTTTTACTATGCTTGATGAGGATCCATTAGGTATCGTTGAATCTATTATGTATGGTTGTAGTGAACGATCATATGCTTTGAAAGTTTCTAAATCGATAAACTTTTTTTCGGTATTAATTGGAACCTGAAAAAAAAAGAATAAATAAAAAATTAATTTTTCTCGAATTTTGCAGAAATTATGTTTTGATAAATACTTGCATATGTGTTTGGCGCACTTTCATCTAGTATCCATGTGTAACTGCTCAAATTAGGTTCTTCTTCTTCCTTATAATACATCGTGTCCCTTAAAATAATAATAGAAATTAATAAAAAGTTTTTTTTTTTTTTTTTTTTAAAAAAAAAAAAAAAGATGGAATCTCCCTTACCAATCAATTATGTTTATTTTTCCAAAATTCTTATTTACCGTTAATTCTAATGATCCTTCATGTACCCTCGTTTCACTGTGATGATAAAAATCGAATTAATAAAACAAAAAATCAAATTGAATTATTTAAAACGACAAATGATTTACCCATGAGTTATCTGTACAATATCACCGCCTCGATAATGCTGCCCATTTTCCCATATAACCAAAGTGCAAACTGCTGTTTCGTCTGCAACAAGGAAACTATGAAGTTCCACTTCTTGTTGAGTCTTTAAAATACGACGGGACACTAAATTAAACAAATCAAAGCGATGATTTAATATGTATATATATAAAATAAATCTCTTTATCATAGCATCTATTAATAATATACGCTTACAATGTTGAAGTATGATACATGTTATATCAAAACCACGGATCCACGGTCTCAACTCTTTGATTGTTAATGTGCCACTTTTCTGAATAGGGATAGGTTTGATGGAATTAATATTTCCATATCGCGAAATTGGTAGTGGTGGAGCTGATACGCTTGTTTCAACCGACATGATGCAAAAAAAAAAAAGTTCCTAGATTTGTGGGTCTATTTATATGGTTTTTTTGAGATGCACGTGTAACCTATGAGTGTTTTGTTGATTGGTTGAATTAATTTAGTCTGCATTCTGTGTAACGGTGTGACATTAATCATGTGATATTTGTTTATCAATCCTTTTTTATTGTCGATTGTTTCTAAATTAAACTTAAAGTGACGCTATTTTTGCTTAGTCAAATAAAAAAAAAGATTTTTAATCATCAAAAATTTTTTTTTTTCGATTATTTGATCTTAATGATTTATGAGCAACTGTCGGGAAAATAAAAAAAGATTAATGCATGACAACCATATTTGGCAATTGTAAATTAGATTTTCCCGGCAGTTTCATCCTATTGCATATTAAAATAAAAACTTAATATAAAATCCAATGTTAATAAGAAATTATATATAAAATTAATTGATTTATATTTTATATGTAATTTTTTTTATTTAATATATATAATTTAAAAAATTTTTAGTGAAAAATATGTTTATTAATTTTCAATTTCTTAAATTAATAAATAATATATTTTGATACAAATAAATATAAAATAAATTGATGTTATATAATATTAATAACATTTTTATTTCTTTTAAATTTTAATAATATAAATTAATCAAACTATTTAAATAATAAATTTATTAAAATTTATCTAATTTTAAAAATATAATTGACTAAAAAATGTAATCCATTATTTTATTTATTTATTAATAATTAGTTAAGAATTTATTAATTAAAATAAAAATAAAAATATTTTATTAAATTAATATTAATAATTTAAAAAGATTGTTAATTATTTATAATTAAGAAAAAAATTACTTTTAAAATAATTAATTTTTATTTTTATTTTTAATTTTATTTAACTAATTTTCTTTATATTTTAATTATTATAAAATTTATTATATCAAAAACATATTAAAAATTTTTATATTTAAACTATTAAATTATAAAAATATTTAATTAAATAATTAAAAAAATATTAGCTAAATATATTATATTATTAATTAATAAAAATTATTAATTAAACTTTAATTAAAATTATAAAAATTTAATTAGTATTAAAATTTAAGATATATTATCTAAAAAAACAAATTTTTATTAATTTACTTATTTTAATTAAAATTAATATTTTATTAAATCTATTTATTATATTTTTTTTAATATTAATAATAATTATATTTTTTTAGTTTAAAATTAAATATAATATAATAATTTAAACAATAAATTATTTAATTATCTAATTAAATTATTTTTATATTTTAAAATTAAATAATAAAATAAAATTATTAATTTAAAAATTAATTTTAATTATTTATTCATTATATATATTTATTTAGTATTTTTATCTAATAATAATTTATTATATATTATAATAATTAAATTTAAATTATTAAAATCTAAATTAAATGTTAATATAATATATAATTTTAAATTAAAAATATTAGTATTATTTATTTATTATTATTAAAGATAGTATTTAATTATATAATATTTTAATAAATAAGATAATTAAAATTTTATTATTAAAAAAATTAAAAATAATTAATTAATTATTAAAAAGTAATAAAATAAAATATTTTATTTAATTTATATAGAATTAATAAATAAAATAGAAAAGTTAAAAAAAAATAAATTTATTTTATAAGCAATTTCTAATTATATACTGTATAAGGTATTTAAATATAATATAAAATATAAGAGATAATAAATAATATCTTTAGATAAAAAATTTTCTAAATTCTCAGATTAATTAATAAAATGAAATATAATAGTGATAGTAAATAATAAAGTTATTTAATTATTTTGAAATGACTTTTAAATAACTTGATTATTTGAAATTATTTATCATTTGATTATTTAAATATAATATAGATCAAATTTTATATGTTAGTTAGAATTATAAATTTATTTATGAAAATGTTTAAAATATTAAATTACATTAATTATTTATAATAGCTAGATTATTAAAGATATAATATAATTATTAAATGACTAAATCATTTGAGTCACTGTTATCATTAAAATATGATATAGTATAATAAATAATAACCTAATCTAATTAATCTTAAACTAATTGCAACTTTATATAATTTATAAATATCATATGATTTGTATTCATATACCTTGTATTTATTAAGAAATTTTCTATTTTATAATAATATAATTATTAAATTAAAATTTATTAATAATAATAAATACTTTAATTCTAAGAAACAAATAATATAATATAAAGAAAACTATTTATATTTTTTATAAATTTTGATCTCTATTAAAGAAATTAAAATTTTTATAAATAATCTTTATTTCGTATAATACTTATTATTATTTATTAATCATGCTAATATTTATTAAAGCTCTTTTATTAATTTAGTTAATTTTTGAATTTAAATTAATTAAATTTTTATCAAATTTTAGTAATTTAACAATATTATTAATATATAGATATATAATTTTAAATTTTTTAATTTTTTAATAGTTTTTATCATTCTATTAAGTTTATACTATTTTTATTTATTATTGTAAATAAGTTTAATAAAATAATAAATAATAAGCTAGTTATAATCTTATCATTTTTCTTTTTTTATAATTAAAAAAATAAAAATTAATTAATTAAATAAATTTTACTTAATGTTTATTTTTTTAAAAAAAATTGCTTATATACAGTAACACCTCTATAAGTGCACCCTCTATAAGTGCACACCCTCTCTATATGCACACCATAGCCCGGTCCCAAGCTCGGAACTTAGAGCTAAGTGCACTCCCTCTATGTTCTGCACGTGCAAGCAATTCTGAGTCCCGGGTATATTAGAACATCCTCTATAAGTGCACTCACGTGATAATCGACCAATCAGAAATAACTGTTTGGTCACGGTTAATTTTAAATTAATAAT